ATGTATTTTAAAATAATAGATTGATGGAGAATATATAGTTAAAAATATATTTATTTTGACACTATAAAATTAACCATAATTTAGCCGGGAAAGTAACCAAAATATAATTACTACTTGAATGGTTAGAAAAGTTATTAATAAAATATTAATAATTTGAAAAAATTGTATAACTTGTTAAATTACTAAATGATTAAAATAAAAATAACCCATTTCAAAAACAAAGTAAGATGGATAAGGCCATAAGGGAGGCGTGATATATGATTTGAAAATCTGTTAGATTATAATAGGAAAAATTGCAGAAGCGGTCCTAAACTTTTTTAATTTTTGCAGATTTTTATTTTAACTTTCATTTTGTACTAACGAACGTCCCTAACCTTTTATAATAAATATGCATCTGAGATCTAAATGGATAGTTTGACCGATAGTTGATCAAAGAATTGACTTTGACTCCAATTTTGATTAATTATAAAAGGACAAAATTGGCAACTTTACATTTTTTTTGCATAAAAAATTAAATAAAAAAATCAAAAAGTGTAAGAAATCTCCCCCAACCCCCTACATCAAACCACCCACTCACTGTACCCTACCCAAAAAAAATAAAAATAAAAAATCCACAGACAACCGCCTATACTGTCTTCGCCACCACCCACATAATGCCGGATAAACCACCTGATCTTGACATCACCTCATCCCACTCTACAAATCCATACCAAAAAACATTTTAAATTCTTCTATTCCATCATCTTCATCCTTCAATATCTTCCTTATTACTACCATTTTTTGAACCATCAGTCAATGAACTATATTTTTCTTTCTTTAAGCAGTCGTTGCCTCTTCCATCACACGGCGTGGCTTGGCCCGCCTACAAATCTATGAAAACGTTTCTCGAATCTCATCTAGGTCCTTCTTCGACATACGAAATTTTTCGGCGCCCAAATTTCCTCGCAAAACGACTACTGTAAGCAAAGGACAAAACATCGTCAACTTCTCATTATGCATAAGCCTCTGGATTTGCCACCTACAACGGAGGCTCAAGAATCGATCCAGCATGATGCTCAATTTGAACTACAATGGGCTCAGAAAAAATGATTGTTTAAGGGAAAATAGGATCTAAAAAAAGGGGATTTTTGAAGTTGATTATGAAAAATGAAATGGGTTTCTTGAATAGTGAGATTGAGAGAAGAAGATGAAAGGGGAAAAAACATCACATATTTAAATAGTCGTTTGGAGATGTTTTTACTTTATAATGATTGCATTTAATATATTACATATTTTCATTACTCTACTCATTAAATTATTCAAATAATATTTGAATTGATTAATCATTAACATTAAAAAATGTATTAACTCGAGAAAAAGAAGAATTGATTTCCAGACAGCGATTAATTAGTTATGATGTGATTATACGTAGTAAAGTGATCGTGGAGGTTGTGGTGGGGTGGTTGGTGTGGTGCGTTGTCTTAGTGTTTTCGGCGAAGAGATGCAAGAGATGACCTGGAGGATGGGTTTGGAGGTAGGTTTTTACTTTTCTTTTCTTTTCTTTTTTTAATTATTTAATTGTTAATATTTAGGGAAATACAAAGTACCATTATACCCTTTTTAATTTGGTCCAGATTGGTCAAATTTTGACTTTTCTAGTCAACTAACGATCAAATCATTCATTTAGACTTCAGATGCATATTTATGAAAGGTGAGGAGCATTTGTTGGCACAAAATGAAGGGTAAGGTAAATTCCGTAAAAATTAAAAAGGTTTGGGACCGTTGTTGCAATTTTCCCATTATAATATCTATCCATTGACAAATTGACAAGGATTGAGAGATTTGACAGTTGTTTGATCCCCATTATTTTCTAAGAATGTATTTTGAAGTAATAGATTGATGGAGAATATATAGTTAAAAATAAGAAAAAAATTGAGTTTGTGTGTAATATTATTTTATTGAAAAATGTGGGTTGAAAATAAATGAGAAAAAAATATAATTTAGAAATAATGGGATAAAAAGGGGCTTGTTTGGTATATAATTCAAATTGGAATCGAGTCAACTGGTTTAATGTTAGTCAAACTGCGTGATTCAATGTATAGGGAAGGCAGGCCCCACTAAGGGCGAAGGTTTTCGACCTTATATTATCGTTGCATTATGTCCATGTATTCACTTTTCTTAAATATATTAGAAAAAAAAAAAAAAAAGTGGGCAAGTTGGGCTATGCTTGTTGCTGAAGTAGTTAGCAAGGATGAATATTTTAATCGAAATTGAATCTTTCAATCGAAATTGGAGGTTTCGGTACGATTCTAGGAAAATGACAGTTTGATTTCAACTCTTTGAAAAAAGAGCCACGATTCACGTACAGATGTCAATTTTACAAGCCTTTTTCAGAATACACACATATGTGGAGCACACGTAATTTATTTATTTTAAATACATGTGGGGTCCCTGTACAGTGAGGGATCCTGTAAAACTTCTATGACCCAAATTCTGTACACTGGGCATTAGTGTTGAAAAAAATATATTTTTAAACAATATTTTGACATCATTTTAATTACACATTTTTCAATAAAATAATATTAAACCTAAATTCAAAATTTTTCTTTATTTTTTAACTACACATATTTCATCAATGCACTATTCAAAAATTCATTTTTATCAAAAGAATGTGGCTCAAGCAAGGGCTAAATTGAGAACCAACTAGATCCTCGAAGATTTTTAGTTCTTGAAATGGATCTTAAATCTCTCGACTCTAAAATTGAATTTACAATTTGTTCACCATGACCCACCCGACTCATGAGTAGCAAGTTTGCAAGGCTAGTAGTTAATACTTTAGTCAATCAAATTTATTCATCTAAATAATTGAATCATATCAGTTTTTATTTATTTATTTATTTTTGATAGACACTCTTGACCGCACTTTACCCGCTACTTCTTGAGGCGCCACACTTAGAATCACAACAGGAATTGGATGATTTTATGGTAAATATTGGATGCTATTTGGTGATTATTTATGATGAACTAAAAAAAGTGTTGAAATATGTGTTTGGTGACATATTTTATTTCTTGTATTTATTTTAGATATTCGGATGATTATTTGTACTGTTGGCGCGCGTGCTTGTATATATATTATGGGGAGTGTCAAACTTGAATCAATGGTTCAATTTCAAGTTCTTTCCCAGTAATTACATGAATTAAATAATTATATTTACGAAATACTTGAAATATAAAAGATGATTTTGGGTATTGAAATACCATCGACTCACTTGACGCCTAAACCTATAGACGGTGAATGGTATTTTTAATCAAAACCACTAACTAATTTTGATTGATTTTAATTTTTGAATCTTAAAATTGAGAACCGAGCTCTCTCCATCCTATTCTAAGAATTAGAACAAAATGTTCGATTGAATTGATTTTTTTAAAAAAAATATATAGCCCCTATTTGGTGGGGATTAAAATAAGATTTTAATATATTTATATAAAAAATGATAAAATGTGTGATTAAAAATTTGTGGACCCTATAAAATATGTAGTTAAAATTAATTATTGATTTTGACTTATGAAGTGGTAAGAAAGTGCACGTGACATTCAAAATTAAAAATATAAAAAAGTTAGTGATAGCTTTACGCCCCGTTTGGTACCCATTTTTTTCAAAATGTATTTTTCTCTTTTTTCTTTTCAACCGCAAATTTTTTATTAAAATAATATTACATGTAAATAAAAAAAAATTTCTTATTTTTTAGCCACACATTTTTCATCAATTTACTATTTAAAAATACATTTTTACATAAAAAGGTTTCTCAAACACCCCTTAAAAGAGGAAGATACATTGCTTCTAAAGTATAATATGAGGATTTAATTACTCAATTTTGTTATATGTATGTCATTGGATGTGGCAGGTAATTAGCCCTTGTTTCAGCCTTGTTATAAAGCAAAATTTTGATAAAATGTATTATGAAATTGTCTTCTTGAACAACCCCTCGACAACCAAGGGGGTTATGTGTTCAACTGGCCTTTTCAATAGTAATTTTTAAGATAATAACGTGTAGTTAAAAAAAAAGGGAATTTTATTTATTTATGTATAATATTATTTTATTGAATAATGTGAAATTGAAAAGAAGAGAGAGAAAATTTTATTAAGGCCCTGTTTGATTCCCATTTTTCTCTCTTCTTTTTCAACCACATATTGTTATTTAAAATAATATTACACGTAAATAAAAAACTTCTCCTTATTTTTCATTTATACATTCGCCATCAAATTACTATTCTAAAATCCATTTTTCTATGAAAATGAGTGTCAAACACCCTCTAAATATTTAAAGAGCATCAAACAAGGATAAATATGGAATATAAATATTTGCAATTGGTAGTCGTTGATTTCGTCCAATGGCAACCTAAATGGTCTTTGATTTTAACATCATTAATTCAAATCAATGGGCAAATTTCTTATGCATAGGGTGTCAAACTTGATGTACAAATAGATAAATTCTTGTTTACCTCCCTCACAAAGTTCTAGGGACGGAGCCATAAAGCCTCTAGGATTGGGGTTCAACCTTTTTAAATAAATTCTTGTTTGCTTACTTTAGTCATCCTTGCAGGACTTGACCTTGCATCTTGGTCAATGAGCCATCTCAGGCTCAAGTTGTTAACCAACGGCTCGAGCTTGACTCGTCCAATGAGCCGAACCATGATTGTGTGGTGGGCTCCTTGCCCCGCTGGACCCAAGCCATTTCCACCTTCAGTGGAAATACGAATATGATTTTTCAATTAATTTATCCTTTCCATATGCCACAAGAATTGTAACTATTCATGTTCTTGCACGTGTCCGGACAATAAAGTGTTATCCACTTTAAAAAAATAATAATAAAAAAAATTCTTTACATAGACGCGTCGATGCGTAAAGCGAGCATGTGTTCGGATTCGTCTTGTGGTTTCTTACAAAGCGGGAAAATCCGTTAAAATTCAAATTTCAAACCGATTTCGTCACCGTATTTAAACAATTTAAACATTTTTGAACCGTGTATATGTTACTGTACTCTTCATACTGTTTTCAAACTCTTGATTTCCACTCCCATAATTACAAATTCCAAAGACGGGTTGTACGTATGGATGAATCATAAAGAAACTGTATTTTCTTTGATTTTTCCTCTCAATTCTTGTTTTAGCAACCGGCAGAGATGGATTTTTATGTTATGAAACGGAAAGAACTGCAGTCATTATGCAAGAAACACAGTATCCCTGCCAACTTATCAAATCTGAACATGGCCAAAATGCTTTCAGAACTTTTCAAGGTAACCCATTTTGTTTCAGTGTATGTGCACGCTTGTGTTGCTAGTGTATTGATGATATTTAGGGTATTAATGTATTTTACTTTTCTTGGTTCTATAAATTTAAATTTACTTTCGGAGTTAGAATGTGATTATTTCTTGTTTAATTCAGGAAAAAGAAAAGCCTTTGATTAGAGGGCGGTCATGTTTAAAGGGGCCGGATGATAATGTGAGCGAAACTGAAGCTGATGTAGTTGGGAATAAGAAAGTTAAGAAAGTAAGATTTAGTCCAGACCATGAATTGATTGAGTTTACGAGGTCCAGGAAGGTGAAAGGAAGAAGTAGGCGGAAAACGACGTTGGGAGACAACAGTTTGGCTGTTGAAATTGTCAATGGTGAGAAGGTGGTTGCGGAAAATATAAATATTCGGGGTCAAGTTACGAGATCTAGAGGTCAGAAGTTGATGGATGGAGTAAATGAGAAGAGAAGAGGGAGAAAACTGACAAAAATTGACAACGTAAAAGATATCATAGCTTCAATTGATGTAGAAACTGAGAAGGCGTGTGAGAAAAAAATTGATAGACCAGATAGAGTTATGAGGTCTAGAAGGCAAACATTGGTCGACTTTTTTACGAATGAGAATAATAGAGGGAGAAATGATGTGGACAACGATGTAGTTCTTGCTACTGTTGAACATGAAGAGAGTAGAGTTGTTAATAGGAGGCCTTTGAGAAATAGAGAGATAGTGGATCGGGGTGTGAAAGAAAATGTGAAAGAGAAGGAAGAAGTTTTGGAGAGTACGAAAAATGTAGAGGAAAATGTGAATTTTGAACCTCAAATTGTATTGAGGAGGTCTAGAAGGAATGACAAAAAGGTTGAAGATGAGAGTGCAAGGAAATATGAGAATGATAGGAGGCGATGCTCGAGAAAAAAGCATAATGAATTGAGAGTGGAAGCTTCAAATTTGAATGCAGACAATGCAACTGAAACAGAAGTTGAGGTCAAGGGGAGAATTGAAGTTGAAGAGGTTTTGTGTCTTGAAGACCCTGCAAAAGTTCAATTGAGGAGAAGTAATATGCGTCAGAATACAACAGTTTCACATGGAAAGATGGGAAATGATGAGCCTTTGGCAGTATATAAGGATATAAATCAAATGAGTACAATAATAGAAACGGGAACCTCTACTGAAGTTCTCAAAGAGGATGTTAAGGTTGTCCATCTTACAGGAGTTACAAGAAGGTCAAGACGTAGAACTATGATATCCCAATCGGTAGTGGAAACTCACAAAAATTTGGATGATACAACAATTGTGAATGGTGAGTTGGGAGAACCTATAAGGAAGCCATGTCTTGTGCAGCCAGGTACAGCAAGAGAAGAGAATACGAGGAGATCAAGAAGGATAGCTTCTAAACACGAACCTGCAATAATGATGGGTGGATTGGATGGAAAAGCTAATGTTCTAGGAAAGAACGAAGCAAGGAAGCGAAAAAGGTTCTGCGTTTCAGGAGAAGACGTTATAAAGACTGAAGATGACCCTACTGAGAAGCCTCTAAGACAGTCCTTGCGAAATGCTATTGGAAGTGAGAAAGCTACTCATATAGCTGTTAAGGGTAAAATTGCTCAGAAAAGGAAGCAAAAAAGCAGAGTGGAGATGTCTAATTTGGTGGAAGCTTCACCAGAGGACATGTTAGAAATTGCAGAATCATTTTCTGTAGATGCCCAGTTGTCCATGCCGCAAGTTGAGGAAATCTCTAACAATGCAGCCTTTAGCTGTACTGGAATTGCAATGGATATTACGAGTGATGCGAGACAGACATCTGGTAGGAAAGCCCATGGAAAGATACGGGATGCTTCTGTTGAAGTTAGTGCTGGCAGTTTTGATACAATGGAAGTTAATGATCCTAAATTGGAAATTAGAGAAAATAGTTCATCCTCTGAAAACGTAATTTTGCAGATTGATAATCCAGAATGTAATTTGGAAATTTCCGTGAGCAAGTCTAAGGAGGTTGAGGACAAGTTTAATGCTTCACTAGAAATTGCGGTGGAGAATTCTTCTGAAGACAATATCTCTAACACTAACAAGGATGGGTCGGCAGCAGCCCTGTTGTTTCACCAAGCTGAGGATTTTAGTTGCATTGATATGCTAGGTGGCGGAGAACATATGAGCGACCTAAATATTACAGGAAATTCAGGGTTTTCTAGGGTCATTTCTTCAACTAATGGCCTTTCACTCGTCAATGAATCAGAATCCACAAGTAAGCATTTTTTTGTGCTTTTTCTGGGTGTTTTGCTGCTAGATTGCTTGTGAAATTTTGTAAATTCATTTTTCACTTATTTCCAGCTAAATTGGAAGCGATGGAGGCCGATGTAGATAATGACGCTTACACGACCATGCACCAAAGTTTGAATGTTGTTGAAGAAGAAGTTGATATTTTGGAAGATAACCTGGACCGTGTTGAACTAGAAGGTGTCAATGAGCTTACTTTGCCAATTTACAGCTATCCCAGTGATGTATACCACTTGGCAGCATCAAATCAGGGATTTAAGAAAGACAATGAAGATACTTGCACAAAAGCTACTGAAGATGGTGTTCTTGATCCGTGTGGGGAGACTGGACGCGAAACTTCCATAAAAGAGAACAAATATGCTGAGGATCCTGGATTTTCTATTAAGCCTGTTGCTGAAACTTCCCTTGAAACTAATGTATCCTCAAGGATCAGTTGTGCTGATCATATTGGTAAAACCTGATTGCCATATGGCTCTACATTTTCTGTATAAATTTTCTTAAATTCAAATATTGAATAATATTTTCTGGCTGTGCTATAGAGGGAGATGCTAATAGCATGAAGGCTGCAAGGATATTGGAGGAAAGGAAGCTGGCATTGAGCGAGGACGGGATATGTGCTGACACTGACAATGTTTTTATAGGAGAGGATGCATTTCTTCATGAGACGCAGAAGTCCATGGAGTATGCTAAAATTGGAGAAGGTGAACTCTCAAAGAAATATGGATTTATTGAGCCTTGTCATGGAGACAAATCTAACACGGCCATTCCATGGTATAACATAATTGAAGATCGTGGCAAATTTGCCTCAGCTGGAGCAATCTTGGGAAACAATTATTTATCATCTAGTGATCAATTTGATGGTATGGTAAAATTCTTCTAGATTTAAACTTACATCTTAATAATTACTGACATTTGGTTATGTAGTGGCGGCAGAGGACGTTGATGCCTTTGGGTTGGAGGGTGTATCAGAACGAGAGAAGCAACCATCAGGCACAATAAAGGAAGATCAAGAGGCTTACGATATGATTGAGGAAGACAAAACCTTTGTTCAAGAGGAGAACCTTTCAGATTTTGCTGAAATTGTCAAAGATGAATGCTTTAGGAATCGTGAGACTGCCCCTCAAATTAGTATTTCTAATCTTTTTGATGGTGAAAAAAGCGCTAGGACCATCCCACAAGATGCAGATATCTGTGATGGCGAAGACTCCTTTAAGAATGCTGATATGTATAGCAAGATTGCTGATTCTCCTTCCATAGCCTCCCAAGCCATGTCTGGATATTGTACTGAAATTAACATCAGTGCAAGTAAATCATGTTCAATGGAAGCGAGTCTGTTTAGACCAAATACTGTTCATAACTCCCTAGGTGAGCACCTTATATTTATGTTTCCTTTGGGTTTATTCATTGATTCCGTATGGTCCAATTGAATTCTCTTTGATGCGTGTGAAAATAAAGAAAACACTGTATGTTTTAAAGGTTCAATTTAATACTGAAGAAAAAAGCAAGCTGAAATTTCATTTCCTCTCTCATTTTTTGCTTTTAACTATTAGCTAGATGTGCTTTGATATAATAGTGTGATGAAAGAATTTTTTAGGCAGTGCAGGGCTAGAATCACATAATGAAAAGAGAGAGGATGGGATTAACTCTACGAAGGAATTATACGCAGAAAACAGTTTGTCAATTATACGAAAAGATGCTGTAGTAGGAAGGACCGTAGATTCTGATAGGAAGTGTGATGACATCGTGAAAATCGATGCATCAGTCAGCAAGGACACTGGAGGAGAAGAGCTTGTTGCTGTTGGCTCTGGAGAAAAAACCTGGTCCAAGCAGAGTACTGATAACGAAATAGAAATCCTTCTGCCCATCAGTTGTTCTCAGCAAGGTGAAAGCATCTACTGGCATGGACTTTTTGCAATGGCTTGCTTTTAGTTTCTTACAAGGATCTTCTTCCATTGCAGGTCCTGCTGCTGTTGACAAGGACAAATCATTTCTTCTAACCACTCCTTTTAAAAGCAGAGACGCAATTCCGGGTAAGGATTATTTGTTGTGTAATAAACCTAATTCTAATGGTGGCCGGCTCGGCCCATCTATCCACAAGCTCAAGTTTTTTAATTTTTTTTTTGACTTTTTTGTTTACATTTTTTACGAGCTGTGTGCTTGTGAGCTTTAGGCTTGCTTGTTCGGCTCGTCGAGCGAACCTCCTGCTTGCTTGGGCTCAAGCTCGTCCCGAAGCTAGCCAAAGCCGTTCATTGATCGAGTCAAGCCGACGAACTACTCAACCCTTTTGCTACCCCTATCTAATTCCCACTTTTGGTTTCAATAGTAACGAGTAATAAGAAAAGGACCAAAGAACTCAGACTCGGTGCTTGTGTTATAAAATTTGTCTAAAGTCCTTTTTTTTTCCAATTGGTCTAACTTAAATTTTAACCTCAAATTTCATGAGACCTACAACTTTTATTAATTTTCTATCGTATATTACATCAACTTTTATCAAAATTTACTAAAATCTTTTATCAAAAACTTTGTCAAACAATCACTTATATTGTTTTCCACTTGCTGTTAGTGTATTCATTATACTGGAGAAGAATACAAGTTTTTCCCGTTACCTCCATTGCACACAAAAGGGTTTCTAAATAAATTCTTCACAGGAAGAATGTTATTTCAATCTCCTACATGTATGAAATGCCCAATATTAGGTTGATCAATGGTCGACACATAGTCCAATATTCTCTCAACATTTTTTCAAATTAATTTCTTCCTAGAAAAGGTAGGTCTTTCATTCTTCGATATTATGCTGCTACAGTTGGAGAGTCGAAAAGTCTACTTGCAAAACATGTTAATGCTGCAAACGTTATACAAGAGAAGGAAACAGCTTTGAGTATTGGAAGTAAAACTGCAGATTTCGCGGCATCTGTACGCACAATTATTAGCAAGGAAGATGAGGGAACCCACAATCAAGCGAATGAGAGCTCTAAGGATGATGAAAATGAGCCTGGTAAGGCCTAAAGTTTTTCTTTTTTTCATTAGGTAATGACTTCATCCACGAAGGATATTCATTTTTCCAATGCTTTTGCTGCGACAGGAATGCTAGTAAATTTATTTGCTACGCCTGTTGGTATTGCAAATGCCATCCAAAAGAAGGAAGCTTGGAGTATTGGAAGTAAAGCAGCAGGGTATACCATGTTCAACCAGACTACTAGCAAGGGAGCTGACGAGAGCTTCAATGAAGACAAGAATGGTTAGTTTAGTTATCAAAATTCAGTCTTTCCTTTTATAATATAATTATCAATATGTTCATCATTCATCATCTCTTACCTCTGAGAGAATCTACTGCAAAATCCATTCAATTTACCAGCCAATAATGCAAACCATAGTGAAGGAAAACACACATATGATCCTGCAGAAGTTGTGGATGTAGACATACCAATGGATATTGATTGCATTAGAATGGAGTTTGGAAGCCAATTTAGATTGGCGACAGGAAGTATGGATTCTGAGAAAATTGATGCATCTGTCAGCGAAGACATTACAGGAAAAGAGATTGATGCAGGTGGCTCTGGAGAAGAAAGCTGTTCGAAGCAGAGTAATGCTAACAGAATAGAAACACTTCACCCCATTACTGGTGCTCAGCAAGGTGAAAGCTTCTACATTATCTTCTTATTTGAATGGTTCGCTTCTTGTAATTTCTTACAAGGATCTTCTTCCATTTCAGCTCCTGCTACAACCAATGAAGAATTATTAGTTCCATTCGCAATACATGGTGATACAAACGCTATACCAGAGAATGACGCTTTGAGTACTGTAAGTAAAACAGCAGGGGAAGCAATGTCTTTACACAGTACTATTAGCGAGGGAGATTATAAAATCCTCAGTCAAGTGAATGAGAGCCCCGAAGATGATGGAAATATGCCAGGTTAGGCGTAAACCTTTTTGTTCATTAGATAGTGAATTCTTCTGGGTAGCACATTCATTCTTTCAATTTGTTTGCTGCAACAGGACTACTAACAAACCTATTTGCTACCCCTCTTGGTAATGCAAATATTATCCAAAAGAAGGATGCCTGGAGTACTGGAAGTAAATCGGCAGGGGATATAATGTCTTTGGACAAGACTACTAGCAAGGGAGCTGACCAGAGCAACAAAGACAAGAATGGTTAGTTCAGTTATCAATATTCACCATTTTTTTACAGGATAGTTCTCATTTCTCAATATGTTCATTATTCATCATTTCTAATCTTTCGAAGAATCATCTGCAAAATCTATTCACTTTGCCAGCCAATAATGCAAAAACTAGTGAAGAAAAACATGATCACGATCCTGTGAAAATTTTGGATGTAACCATATCTAGGGATATTGCTTGCACCAAAATGGAGTTTGAAAGCCATTTTGGATCAGCAACAGAAAGCATAGATTCTGAGAAAATTGATGCATCTGGTAGAGGGGTCATTAGAGGAGAAGAGATTGATGCAGATGGCTTTGGAGAAGAAATTTGGTCAAAGCAGAGAGTAATGCTAAAATAATAGAAACCCTTCACCTCGACATTGGTTCTTAGAAATGTGAAAGCATCTCCAGTATGCAATTTTTGAAATGTTTTGTTTCTTGTAATTTCTTACAAGGATCTTCTTCCATTCCAGCTCCTGCTGCAACAGATGACTTTAAATGTCCATTTGCAACAAGTGTTGGTGATGCAAACACTCTACAAGAGAGCGAAGCTTTGAGTATGGAAAGTAAAACAGCAGCGGAGGCAACATCTGCACACAGTACTATTAGCAAGGGAAAGTATGGAATCCTCAGGCGATCAAATGAGAGCCCTGAAGAAGATGCAAATGAGCCAGGTGAGGCCTAAACTGAACAATTTTCATTTGGTTGTGATTTCTTCTACATTGCACTTTCATTCTTTCACTTTGTTTGCCGTAACAGGACTGCTTAAAGGTCTATTTGATACCCCTGCTGGTGCTGTAAATACCACCCAGGAGAAGGAAGATTGGAGAATTGGAAGCAAAGCGGCTGGGGATACAATGTCTTTGGACAAGAATGCTAGCAAGGGACAACATGGAATTTTTAGTCAAGCAGATGAGAGCTTCAGTAAATACAGAAATGGTTAGTTTCACCATCTTTTATTGGATAAATCTCACTATGCCCACTTTATCTGTAGCTTCTTATTAGATTAACTTTAGAATTCATTTAATTTACCAGTCAATAATTATATCTTTAATGAAAAAAGAAAACGGTTATGATATTGCAGAAATCGGGGATGTAGCTATGTATATGGATAGTGCTTGCAACAAACTTGGATTTGAGAGTTACAGCCAAATGAAGTCTCACAATACAGATGAAGAGGAATGTAGAATTCAAATTGAACATACTGGCAATATGGTGTCATATAAAGGTGAAGAGTCTAATTATTTGTCATCCCCATATTTTCACCTGTCATTTGCTCGTAACAATTTCCAAATAGTTGTGCACAACCTATTGTTTTATTTTTATTTTTCATTTTTTGTGCAGAACATGAATTCAGTAATCTCTTTGATACACCAATAGATAGCACTAATCCTGGTCCACCAAATGAAACCTCCTGTCATGGACCTGAAATAGCAGATGTGACTATGTCTGCAGACAAATTTGTGTCCAAGATGGTTAGTGCTGAATTCTATAACAGGAATTTTCAAGAAACAGAAGGAGAAAAAGAAAGCAAGAATGAGAAAACAGTACAAAAATGTGCAGTTCAACAAACTCCCTCTCAAGAAGTATCTGAAACCAGTTCTGATGTGGGCTCGGAAGGTTTGTTCATTATACTTTTATTTAGTAATTTCAACGATCAATATCTTATTTCTTTATTTGGGTGTATGCATAAAAGATCTACTTAAAGTGCTGTTTGCAACACCAGTCAAAAGTGTTACATCCTGGAAGGAGAATCAAACTTCTGGAAGTAATGCAAGTGCAATAGAGCAGAATGCTAATAGCGAAATGGCCATGGAGCAAAGTGCTGGGTGCCACGAACTAAATGAACGTTCAGACAATGGTGAAACTCCCAGCATATCTGCAGAGGCAAAGGAGATGAACAACATTTTTCAAAATGTGGATGATATGGATGAAGGTTAGTGCTAGTCTATAAAATAATCTACAACAAACGTCAAAGGTATTTTTTTTTTCTTTTGATGATTGACAAGTTTGTCGTGCTTATGTGATCATAACATGCTTCCAAGTAACTATGGCAGCTTCTCTAACTATTTACTTGAACATGTATCCACAGATTATGGTGCTGAATCCCCTATGTTAAGCTATTTGGAAATGCATGTACCCCTTAAAGAAAATAAAGAAGTGGAAAACTCAGGGGCAGATACCTTGAATTTCAATTTGGTACATGGTCATTTGAAGGATAGCACAAAGGTTGAAGAAAATTCAACTGCTATGCTCATCAAGCAGCAATTTGCAATGCCAGATCGTCAATCAGAAGAAAACATTGAGTTTAGGAGTAGCAGCCGTGCTGGTTCAGTTTTGCCTGTCTCTCAAGAAAGCTTGAAGGAAAGTAATGTAGCCGATATCATTAAAGCATATATCGATTCTGAATCTACTATATCAGTTGGCGTTGATGATCCGAGACATGTTGCAGAAAGTATTGATAATGAACATGCTAACTTGGTCGAGCCTCAAGCACAATCTCATCTTAAACCTGTCATTGCTGATGAGGAAAATGATAAGCATACAATTGAAAATAAAACTAGAAAAGTGGAAGAAGAAATGCAGTTGGTTGAATCTGCTCGCGAGTCAAAGGAAGCATACACTGATCTTGCTAAAGATGGAGGTATACAAAATTTTAATGATTGTCACAATTGTATTTTTGTTTTTCAGCTGTTTAGACATAGTGATTTACATGATATTGTTTGCTTATTTGAGCTTCTTTTTCTCTTTTGGTGTACCTAAGATTATGCAGCTAACAATGCATTGATATCGAGAAAGAAGAGCGACTCGAGCAGGTGGGATAATCAAAATGACTGCCATGGCTCAGGATCCCAGCTGCATTCAACTGCAAATAATTTAAGAACCATTCTAATACATGGAACACCTAATAAAGCTATCATGAGAGGCAATATGAAAGAGAATGCACCAGATAGCAAGAGGGACAATATTGGTAACTTAACAATTGTGAGACCAGCTAAAAGACGTGCCTTGCAGGATCTTCAATGGAAGTAGAGGTTTTTGATTTCCCATTGTGTAATTTATGTATTTGGATAAAAAAAAAATTTAGGAATTACTATATAAGAAAGCATATCTCATGCCTATATTTTCGTGAACATGTCTATGTCCACTTCGTATCACTATTTTGTTTATTGAAGACCCCAACAATTCAGTGACCTTTTGTGGATGATTTGAGTTCTGAATTGAATATGCTTCGCTTTCTCGTTCTACTACATACACTCAAGTATAATCCAACATATAGTTTTAGAACACTTCATCAAGTCTTTAGGTTCAATGAGTAAATACATCATATGAGTGATTGCAAACATTATATTTTAATCCCTAAGTAAAAGGTGTGTTTGTGAAAGTTAGGGATGCCAAATGGCTGAGCTAAGTTGGCCGTATGAGCTTGGCTAGTCCCTTGGGCTCATTGGAGCATGAGCTTGAGCTCAGCTCAGCTCATACATGAGAACAAATATGTTGAGGATCTTCGATTTTCTTTGGATTCAGTTTTTGAAACTTTTCTTGAAACTAATATTGTTGGAATAAATTGGGTTTCAATTGGATTATTTACTGTTTAGATTATTGAAATTAATTGTGTGAATTGATAAAAGAGGAAAATGCAGACAAACCTATTTTTTAAGTTCTCATTTCAATAATCAGGTACAAAGATTTATCTTTCAAAAAGTAGGTGGATCCACCCCAACATTGCATCCCATGTATGCTCCACACCCTTGCCCACACAAACGAAATCTATGACTCTTTACCAACTCCGACCAAAATCCTTCTCAATGTCTCTATCCGTTCTTTCTTAATCAGCCCAAGTCGCCACCTACCATGAGTCCAAATGTTAGGTTGTTGGTCAATATGGGTGGTACAATTGTTATCTTTATAACCGTAATGCTTTGCGATTTGTGACTAATACGTAATTGTAATCATATATTGTATGTCATTGCAACTTTATCCTATTTAATTACTACCACTTAGTTTTTAAAGGAATTGCATTAGTTTCTTAAATTTGAAAGTGTATCTTGAAACTATGATAACTATGTAATTTTTCCATTGAAAAGATCTTTAATTAAAAGATAATTTGATAATGAAACCCGTTAAATCTTTATTTTTTTTTAAAGTGAAAAATGATGGTATTAATCCAACATTGAAATGTTACAAAAGTTCGTACTTATTTATATTGTGGAACACCAGAGTAATTTAATACTAATAGTTCACATGCATCATGCATGGTCATGGTCTGCCCTCAAGGCCATCTTTAGGTAGTCGCCAAGGCCATGGGCCATGCTCATTGCATTGGGATCTTTGGAGACGGACTTTGAACTTCACACACACAGTCTTGAGGAACCATAAGGTTTGTAGAGACGGAATCGTGGTTCGTGAGCTAGCGTCGTTATAGTGTAGCATGTGACATCTGCATGGCTAGAGATGTGATGAATGGATGCGTTCATTCCTATGCGGTTGATGTATGGTGAAGAATCGTGGACCATCACAAAGGGACACAATCTAAATCGCCCAATCTAAAGTGGTGTAAGACCAAATCCAAATGTCATGGCATACCTTGCTTTATCTTCCTTCTGGCTATTGTTTCTTTTGATTGTACGAGTTATTAATTTGACCACAAATGTATCCTCGAGCATCCATTGTTCTGATCATATTGGTGAAACCTGATTATCATTTAGCGGATCCAGGAATTTAGTCAACACGGGCTGACAAGCCAAAATAAAAATAAAAACCACACATAATCTTTTTTTTTTTTTTTTTTTTACTTGAATCTTTCCTTTTAATTAGCTTTGGATTGGAGGGACGGGCTCTAGCACAGCCGGCCTGTCCCTAGATCCGCCTCCATACGACTCTACATGAATTTTTTCCCGTGAAGATGAATTCTCAAAGATTGTAATGGAGACAAGTCTAACAATGCAATTCCATGGAAATTTTGCCACAACTGGAGCCATTTTTGGGATCAATAATTTCTCGTTATGGATCAGATGGTGTGATAAAAATCTAGAGTAACGACGTGACATAATATTAAAATTTAGCTGATTTTCTTTTCTTCCTTTTTCCCTCTTTTCTCTGTCTTCCAAATTGTTTTCTTTCCTCTTTCTCTGTATATCAATATGTAAATAATTGTGTATGAGGAACATTATTCACAAATCTATTACAATTATTCTTTTATATCTTATTAATCACTGATATTTGGTTTGCCATTTGTTCTTCATGCCTTCAGCTTGGAGGGTGCGAGAAGCAATCATCAGGTAAGTTGCAGGAAGTTCAAGAGGCTTCGGATACGATTGAAGAAAACGAAACAAGAAGAGAAGAATTAGGGCAAAGAAGAAATCAATTTTTATTCACATAATTAAGGGTGCCTATTATATTGAAACCCTATACATACAACTAATCTAAGAGCTAAATTCAAACGAAATTCTAATAAATTAATTTTTCTTTTATCTTAGTAATTAAATCTCATCTATAAAATTACTATTTTAATTAAACTCTTATTTAAAAATCCTATCTAAACATTATCTTTATCTCTATTTCTATCAAGAACTTTCTGATTTGGTTGAAATTGTCAAAGATAAACGCTTTAAGAATCACAAGAGTGCCCAAAAAATGAGTATTTTGAATCTTTTTTATGGTGAAAAAAGTGCTAGGTTTATCTCACATGATGCAGATTTCTGCGATTGTAAAGACTTCGTTAAGGATCCTGCCATGCACTGCGAATTTGATAATTCTTCGCCATAGCCGCCCTAGTTTAAATGCTTGCGTGAAAGTGATTATTTGAAAAGCAAATTTTTTTATATTTTATTTTTATTGAAAGACTTGTAATAAAATGTCGTGAAAAATATTTTTTGAGAGAATATGTGCTATGAGTTATTTTAAGTGTTGTTCAAATCATTGGTAAAAAAGTGTGCCACCTCACATAATGTAAATAAAAAAAATTGTTAACCATAATGTCACTGTAACAGGATTGATATATATATATATATTATTATTATTATTATTATTATGACGAAGGAACCCGCAGCCTAATCCTTCGGGTGCATGCTGGGTAAACCCTCGGACTGACGCAATAGCATATAAATTACGCCAGCCAAGTAAACCGTACCAGGCAAACCCTGTGCGACAAGCTTGATCGAAAAATTGTTGGTAGGAGAAATCGAACTGATTATGTATAAGATATATTGCGTACTGATAATGACAACTGGGAATGAAAAAAATATATTTCGGACTGATCATGCAACTCACGCGGAATTTTAAAGCCTCTATTTGGGAATTTTATAAATGGTTTACAATTAGACAAAGTAGTGAAACTCACGAAATTTATGAAAAATAATGAGGAATATTTATAAGTATATGGTTGAAATTAATATTTGACATTCTCTAAATTTATAAATCGATGAGTTTATAAATGTTTACATTTTAATCTACCTATGTCCAGTAAAAATTAAAATCAAATTTTTAGTAAATTTTAATAAAAATTGATGTGTGTGATTAAAAAGTTGTGAATTCGACGAAATACATGATTACAATTAATTTTTTGACTTTTACATAGATTAAAATTTTAATTCCTACCAAACAGGACGTTAGTAACTAAGTGCTTGTTTGAGTTAATAATTTATCAAATTTTAATCTTAATTATGCTTATTTTAAGATTCGTAATATTTGTTGACTTTCAAAATGTAAATTTTGATTGCGATGAAATCTAACATTAGGTTGGACACGACTTTTTGAGTTGATCTAAATTCATTTTAATTGCAAAGAATAAAAGGAGGACCTAAATGTTAACATATGAAAAGGTTCCCGTCCTTGCTTGACATTTTGGACTAAGATATCGAAATTGATATCACACACTATATATCACATTATGATATTTTTGCAGACTAATTTTAATTATTGTTTTTTAATTAAACATTTTTTTATTTAAAAGATATTTCGTATATGTGATTTATAAATTTATTATCTTCTTTTCCTAAAATCTAACCTCAAATCAATACAAATTAATTTGAATAATGAATAAAAATATTGAAAAAAAATATTAAATACTTCATTTGGCTCTTCCTCTATAGTAGAAACAAATAAAAATTATAAACAGTCGATTAAAACAGTATTTGACATTAGTTGTCATTTTGTAGCTTAAAATTAATTTTTTATTCATTTTAAGTTGGGGTAATTTTACAAATTCAAAAACCTTTAAGGATGCATGATAAGTTTATTGGAATTTATAGTGAATGAGAAAATATATAAAAAAATTACGAAATGATGTAGTGGGAGGTCTCAATTGAAGATTAATTTATGGAGGAAAAGTTAATGAGATATAAAAAAATAAATTTGAGATGAAAATGAAATCGTAATTGAATTTTTGGAGAATAAAAAAATAGTTACTAAATTGGTATGTAAAACTTTACATAATATAATACAAATGGTATGCTTTGCAATTTTTAATTATGGATATATTGGTCTATTTAGCCCCCGTTTGTAGGGATGTCAACGGGGCGGGGTTGGGGCGAGGCACCTCCTCCCCACTCCGTCTCACCCAAACCTCGCGTCCGCCCCATCCTGTCATGGCAATTTTTTGTCCCGTTTAATTTTTTTTCTTTATTTTTGAGTTATGTTATTATTAGATAATAATATACATATTCAAAATGAGCCTTTAACGGATGAATTGTTTAGAAGTAAAATTATTTTTAATCATTTTTTCCTTCACGGGACGGATTTTTTTGTCCCATTGAGACAGGGCGAATTTTTTTGCCATCACTACCCGGTTGACAGCCTTAAGAAAGCGATTTAAAAATTTTTTTTGCAACGTAAAAGCATTTATGGACAAAAGAAAATGCAACTGACAGACCTGAACTAAATACCGTGTTTGCCCTCGGTTTGTGATGAAACTTTACTCATTTGCCCTTCAATCTTTCTCCCCAATTTCAGTTGGTAACTAGGCATTTATTCAAGGGCAAAATTGGAAAGATACACATCATTTTAATAATGATTATTTCGTGCTAAACACGAATACATCACAATGCAAATGCGGGCCCCATTATATTGCTGCTGAAAAATCTTTTTGGTGAATTAAAATACTTATTTGGTGGAAATTAAAATAAGATTTTTAATAAATCTTAATAAAAATTGATGAAATGTGTGGCTAAAAAGTTGTGGGATCAATAAAATATGTTGTTAAAATTAATTGTTTACTTTGATTTAGATTAAAATTTGAATTTGAATTGGTACTAAAGAGGGGTAAAGGATATCAAACAAGGCTTAACTATTTTTTGTGGTAAATTTGTAAATTAATTAGTAAATTTTTTTTTTTTTTTTTTGGTTTGTTTGTTACTATACTGTAAAATATAGGAAAATTGTAGCATCGATCCCTAACCTTTCACTTTTTTGTAGACTTTACCCTAACATTCTATTTAGGATATCAAACAAGGCTTAACTATTTTTTGTGGTAAATTTGTAAATTAATTAGTAAATTTTTTTTTTTTTTTTTGGTTTGTTTGTTACTATACTGTAAAATATAGGAAAATTGTAGCATCGATCCCTAACCTTTCACTTTTTTGTAGACTTTACCCTAACATTCTATTTGTGCTAATGAAGGTCCTTAACCTTTGGGAAATAAGCACCTGAGGTTCAAATGGATGAGATTTGATTGTTGATTGACTAAAAAAGTAGATTTTGACTAATTTTGACCAAAATTAATTGAATAAAATGGTAACTTTGTGCTATATTATACATAAAGAAGATGTTTGATGGGAATTGAAATTAATTTTTTTAGTAGATTATGATAGAAGTTTTTGAAATGTATGGTTGAAAAGTTGTGGGATCCATGAAATATATGGTTAAATATTGATTGTTTGATTTTGACTTAGATTAAAATCGAATTTTAATTCAAATCAAATAGGCTCAAAATAATTTCAAAAAACCAAAAAAAAAAAAACAAAATAAAAACAAAAAAGATTATGGACTGTTGTTGCAATTTTTCCTGAAAGAGTAGGGACAATTGTTGCTATTTTTTCAGATTTAGTTTGAATTTTTTGTTTATTTATTTAATGTAGTAATTTTAAAATTAATATTTTGCCCATTTCTATTTGATCAAAGTTAGTCTAAGTCCACTTTTGTTAGTCAACAACGGTCAAATTCCATCTATTTGGATCCCAAGTGCTTAGTTCTCAAAAGTTAGGGGTCTTCGTTGGCACAATTTGAATGTTAGAGTAAAATTTGCAAAAAAGTAAAAGATTAGGGACATGTAAAGTAATAGATAAAGTGTAAATTTGAAAATATGACATGTAAAGTAATATATATCCCATATAGAGGGTGTGTTTTGTAAATTTTCCTACTTACCATATTTCTACTATTTGTTGGGAGGTTTGGTGGAAATATTAAAAAAAAAAATTATAAGAACTTGCAATTTTCTATCAATGATGAATTAGAGTACACTGACTCAATACCAATATTCTAAAAGGCATAATGCTTAGCAATGTGTGGATGTCAAGTTATGGAGTAGGTTTAAGTGAGATATAGACGTAAAAAGACGTTTTCTTATTTTAATTTTTAATCAATCGAAAATTGTTTAATAATTAAAAATAATACACGCTAAACATCTAAAATAAATTTATACATTTTCTCAAAGTTTTGAACAAAAAGATAAATTCAAAATATAAATATTAAATAGTAAATAAATAAGAAATTTTGGGAGATTTCCTTTATTAAAAGCTTCAAGCAACTATCTTGAATTTAGAATCGACTAAATGAAGAAATCAACATTTAAGTTTTAATTTAGAAGAATTGTAAAAAAAAAAAAAAAGGGATAATTATACACGCCTAGGCTCGCATTAGCAGTCAACGATTGCTGTTGATCGCTAAATAAGGCATCAAAGCCACTTGACTTGGCATTTTCGCTGTGCACGCCAATGCACGTCTTTTAGAACAGTGATCAATACCGCAACAAAATTGAAAGAGAAATTTGCAATTGCAGTCCTCAAACTTATCATTGGAAGTACTCATATTTCATTCAATTTGTTTCAACTTTAGACTCTCAAACTATCAATTTTAGTACAAGACAGTCCCCACAGGATGAAAATGATCCAAAATTGAAAATTCTTCTACCAGGTAGTGACTTAAATTTGGACATAGCCAAAATAAGGGTATTTTCGTTAAATACATTTGTTTAGCTATTTTTTAAATTTTATTTTTGAGATCTATAATGGCAGACGAAAATATCGCGTAAAGAGATTAAGCACAGTTCAATCAACATAATTTAGCCTCCATTAAATTTTCATTCCATTACATTTTATTTCATTTTTCTCTTTCATATTTTTAAATACACAATCTTTCATAAAATAATATTACAATGTAAATTGAAAATTTTTCTTTCTTTTTCAACCACTCATTTTTCAAAAAAATACTATTCCACCCATTTTTATTTACATGTAATGGGGGCCAAACGAGGACTTAATCAGATTCCATCAAATAGGAAATTTGATAGTTCGAAGATTTTAAGTATAAAAAAAAAATGCATGTATGGCAAAGGTTAAATTTTAATTTATACTCATCAAAATTTTTTATTAACATATTTCATTTGACTCATAATAATTCATCGTTAGAATTTTGAATGGACTTGTTTAAGCTCCATTTTATTGAAAAATAGTCTTTGAAATAGTGAAATTTTAGAAAATGTGTGAATTTTTAGGTAGGAAAAAAATTTTAAATTTACATATAAAATTATTCTATTAAGGGTTTGTTTGAGCCACATTATTTTCAAAAAAATATATTTTTTAACAGTGATTTGATATCATTTCAATCATACATTCTTCAATGAAATAATATTACACGTAAATTTAAAGTTTTTCTCATTTTTTAACTATTTATATTTCATTAATTTAACATGAATAATGTATTTTTTTTTAAAGTGTGGCTCAAACATAGGTTAAAAAAATATTTGATTGAAAAAAATAAATAAATTATTTTAAATATTTTGAAGCCTGCATTTGCAGTCTTGCCAAATCCCAAAAAGATATCTTTTAAGTCTGACCTTTGAAAAATATAAAAAAATATAAACAAATGGTTTAAAGTTGTTTCCCTCAAATTACTAATCATTTGTTTCTTTTCGAATCCTGAAGGTTCGGGCGCAACATTTCAAAAAGTTTCATCTCCCTCTTTGAAAGTTGAACGCCAATATCCTTCGGGTAACTTTCATTGCAAAGTCGAGTTATTTACTTCTTTATTAGCTATTTGCCACTTTCCTGTGTAATTGAGTTTCGAATTGGTTGGTTTTTTATTAATAGTTGCATAAATTTGATATGTCTATCTCTGGAGTTTCTATTCTGGCATGTTAAGAGTGTATTTTTATTCAGTTTCTTGAATTCGATTGCAGTCTACTTCTAACAATTTTTGAAGGCCTTTTTCCGTATGCACCTTAGATTAATTTTTTGTGCTCTTTCACAGTTTTGGCTTATCTCGCAGGTTTATGTGTTAGAGACTGCTATTTGAAGTGTTATGTAATTGTGGACTCCCGGGATTTTGTCTTGTGTTTTGCTCCATTTCAAGCAAATTTTGAGAATCTGCAGAGCTCGGTAGGTTTGGGTTCAGTTGAATTTTGAGTGCTTTTGGGTACTGTGCTCTAATTTAATGGATATCGAGATAAATGTTATTGAAGGGTTTTGAATAGTTCCTATTGGAGTTCATGGTTCTCTGTAGTTCATCAGATGAAATTCATAGTAATGATTTAACAAAAATACGAAGTTAGGGTCGAAAGTTTCATGGAGATGCCAATGAGTCTAGTCTTGAGATTAGGAAGCCAAATCCTGACATGTCAAGGGTTTCAAGCCACCTCATCCGAAATCTTAAGTTGTTTTGAAGGGAACAAATTTATTCATTCATAATTTGCCTCCAACAAGTTGCCTCATTTGCAAATTGAGTTATTTTTGTTTTGTATCAAAGACTTGACACTTAAACAAATTTTCATAATTGTGTGGCTGCGAAATTCATATTTTTGTTTTCTCCTGCTGTATCATGTAGAACCATTTCATCTAAATTCTTGAGCTGTAATCCTGAGAACAAATTTATTGATTTTAATTTTGGCTTCCACAATAGGTGATTACTGATTAGTTCCAATCACTTGGCATTTACTTTCAATTATTTGTTATCCTACTTTCAAATTTCAGAGGAATTAAGCATTCCTTTTTTGCTCCCAAGGTTGAGAAACAAATGACATGACAAAGAATTTTAATTTCTTTATGTGCTTCTTGGTATTGTGAAACAGGGATGAGAACTGAATCCCATGTCGAAAACTCGTGTTAAGTTTGTTCTTTATGAACATTTAAAGTCTTAAGTTTTAGTTATAGAAAGCTTTGGCAGCAGAGTTTTTATTCCTACCAAGGTCTTATTACTTCTCCTCCTTTTATATCCCTTCTCAGACTCATTGTTAATCCATTTTTCTATGCCCCTGTTTGGTTTGGACAAAAAGTAGATTTTTCGGTAGATTTTGATAAAAGTTGGTGAAATGTGTAGTTGAAAAGTTGATAAAAGTTGTGAGCTCCATGAAATGTGTGGTTAAAATGAGCTTGGAAAAAAATGAATTTTAAGAAATGGTGGCCAAACGTGGGCTATATAAGTATGGACTAATTCCCTGGTGCATCTTTTAACACTTTTCTGATGAGATAACAAACTATTGCATCAAAACTTGTACTCGTATCATCTCATCATGATCAAAAGTTAGTTTGCTTCCAGGCACCTGCTCCTTTTGCGGCTAAATGGATTTAATTAATGACCTTTTAGGGATATCTAATTTTTGAATTCTAAGAATGAGAGACTTTGATAGTACTATGTAGGAAAAGGATGGGAGGATTTGAGTTGAGAAGACAAAGTCAGGAAGATGCAATACTGATGATAGAGTAGTTTGCCAATAAAAGGCTACAATCTGGAACCAACAGATGACTGAAGCATGAATGATGGCATTATCGAACTTCCATGAAAATTATCAAATAAGTCTAGTAGAAAGGTGCATTTTAATTTCTTGTCATCCTGAGTAATGGGTACCATGAGAGCAACCACCCAATGGATCTTTACTTTTTTGTTTCAAAAGAAAATTTCCCACTTGAAATCAGCTTCAGGTTTTGCCATTGAGGAATGAGCCCTGTGACACCATATATGATAACTGTATTCTGTAAGAGCTTTTCCTATACATTTAAACTGGGAAACCAAAAAGAGGCAATTAACCCACTTTAAAATTTGTGTTAAAGGCTTTCTGCTTTACGAAAGCCCTGGTAGATTTGCAGGCTGCAATTCCAGCTATTTATTTATATGTAATCCAAGGTTTGAATGTTTGAAGTTTTAAGAACAAAAAACTATGTTCACCCATACATACATCACATATACACGGAAACATGAATAATCATAGTGATAAGAAAGGCTTCAAGCTTTCTCTCAAGTGTTCAAGACACACAAATATACTTTGAAGAGAATATTCCAGTAAATTTTATGGTGTATTACTAGTCATGCATAACTTCCTCTTTTCCATTGCAATGTGATTTGGGCATTTCATAAGAGCCAACATAATACCTATCACTATTTGATAATGATCAAACAGAATTCATTATTTTGATTACAAAGAAAGATTCAAAATCTTTTCCAAAGACTAGGGTTCCAACACAAGAAAGATTCAAAATCTTTTTCCAACAACTAAGGTTCCAACATAACTTGAAACATGCAGATTCACAACCAACACCCTTGGATACTTAGTGTCTGTCTATTACTTCCAGTCTTAATGAGTGAATAGTGCCAACTGGCACACTTGCTTAAGTCTCTACGTCAGCATCTTCTTGTTGGGGACTAATACAGGAACTTTAAGATGTGATCTTACTCCTTTCCTTATGCTAATAGATGACCCATGTATATAACTTTTTGTGTTTGTCTTTTCAGCAAAAGTTTGCCTTGTGCCTCTTAAAGACCAAAGTTACTAGAGAGTTGAGCTCGATCTAATTAAGGTTACACCTATAGATGCCCAATTGTTTGACGTCCTCTTCACATTGACTACATCATGTCTCATTTCAACAAATCAATTCCAAAGTTGAAGATTGCATTGCTTGTAGTTGGAACCAGGGGAGATGTTCAGCCTTTTCTGGCCATGGCAAAGAGACTTCAGGTACTGTAACAAGATTTTTCTTTACCTGTGTGGATTAGTTCACCTTGACCTCGAATTAACTTACATGAAGGAAGCCTTTCCTCTTTAAGTATAAAGGAATATAGGATTCTAAATTCAGCTTAGATTTGACAGCCTCTACAATGATTCCGAGTATAACTGCAACACCTTTTCCTGACTACGTGATACTACATCAAAGTCATGTGAATTTACAGCTGTTTTAATTCATTTCTTATAGTACTTGCTCCTCCTTGTCTTACCGTACTTTCTCTGCTTTGGAATCATATGTCCATGTCTGAAGGTGAGGTTGATGTGATTAAAGCTTTTATATACTCTTGAGATCCTGTAAAGTCAAACTCATTATATTAGGTTTTGAAAGAATTCATGTCAATACTGGAAAGCTTTAGGTGAATAAGTAATTGACTATTGCATTCACAGGGTTTATTCAAGTAGTGCCCATCTTCTCCACTGTTATTGTGCGCCAGACTCATCATTATCCACTTTCTATTTGAACTAATTATTCTATCCTCTTCCAAACCCTTCAAAACTGACACCAAGTTTTTCGGATAAAAATATGAATGAAGCAAAATATCAGACTATTTTTTTTAGATGTTAGTAGGTGAATTGAATGTGTAGTGAATCTTAGCTAGAAATTTTTTATGGGCTGCGAAGCACGCATGATAGGAGTTCTTGTGAAACACTAAAAATTGTTGATATCCTCTTTTTATGCTAGTTCTCCACCTTGAGAGTTGATATACTACTATTACATTGCTTTTATATGTGTTCCGTTTCATTAGATTTTGAGAACTGATTGAATAATTATTGATTTCTTTTCAAATCTAAGATCTCAATGCGTATTTCTTTTATTGTTTGATAATAGATAATATACAATATGACAAAATAGCTTTATTTGACTAAGTATTCATTAACGATTGCTACTGCTTCATCATATGGTGCATATTTCACAATTTACTACAATTTTACTTTTTCCTGCTCATGTAATTGATTCATTTAAATTTCTAATTGATTCTACACATGGCCGCAGGAATATGGCCATCATGTTAGGTTGGCAACTCATGTTAACTTTTGTGGATTTGTGAGGTCGGCTGGTGTAGATTTTTACCCACTGGGCGGTGATCCTCGAGTTTTGGCTGGATGTAAGAGGTCCTTAACACACACACACACACACACACACATTCCTGTCATTTATCTGTGGATATTTAATATATTCCACTATGAAATTTTTGATTTGTACATAAACAAGGCACTTCTATCATGAATTTTTTCTGACCTTGATATCGTAAATACAAAATGATAATAGAAATATCTATTTTTCCCAATAGCCTCTCCCTTTGCATTCATCTTGTCTACATTTTATTTTACCACGCGAAGCTATTTTATTGAGAGTGAAAGTCAAATTATATCTAACGGAGTATCTAACTGAACTTGCAACTCTGCATTGTTTCTTCTGGAAACTACACCTTGAAATTTCTAAAAGGCAACTGTGTGATGTCTAAATCAGTTTCTTGAACATAATCAGTAAAATTATGACGTATAGTGTTTGTTTTGGAGTAAATTTTCTTCTTGCAACTGTAGATACGGCCAGAAATAAAGGTCTCATTCCTCTTGCACCGGGAGAAATATCCATACAACGAAAACAAATAAAGTCCATAATTGAATCTCTGCTTCCAGCATGCACAGAACCGGATGTGGAAACTGGTGAATCTTTCACGGCTCAGGCAATTATTGCAAATCCTCCTGCATATGGTTAGTAATTGGAATGTTTCCGTGTTTAAATATATAGATTGGTGAACTTTTGATATTTGCAATATATTATCATCCAAAATTCATGTATGAGCTGAATCACTTGATCTAAAAGCTTAAACCATGAGATGAGACCAAGCGTATGTCTTTAAATATTATTTTCAACATGTTTCTTCACGTGCAAGTTAGATTCATCATTTTCCATCAAATCCAAAAACGTGGACAGCTTCATTTATAATGGGTGGTGGCAAGATTTAAACTCAGGACCTCTGCTTGCTGGTTTTTTTTTATGCCACGTTGAACCACTTGATATAAAAGTTTAAACTGTTAGATGATGCCAAATGTATAGCATTAAGCTTCTGTTTGACAATTATTATTTCAAAACTTTTTTTTATATTTTTTATATATATACTCATTTTCAACCACATATTCACATGACAAAATATTCTACACGAAAACCCAAAATTTTTCTTACTTTTTAACCACATATTTTTCAAAAAACCACTATTGAAAACTCAATTTTACCCAAATAATGGCTGTCTAACAGGGGCTATATATTATCTTCAACATTATGTTTTCAAGTTTTAGTTTGATATTCCGACATTTGTTTTCCAGATTTAAAATTCTTTTCTGTTCCCAGGGCATGCACATGTTGCTGAAGCTCTTGGTGTACCATTGCACATCTTCTTCACAATGCCTTGGACGTGAGTTTAGATTATCATTTCTATTAATGTCAGTCTTGTCTCTGTTTTGCTATCATTTTAAGTGGTCCAACTATATTTTAATTTCCAAAACGAGTTACAGACACTGATCTACCATAGAAATAAATGTATGGGTTTTTTTTTTTTTTTTTTTAGTCAAAAAGTTTTTGGGAGAAAATAATTTTGTTGAGTAGGACTATATGTATTCTATCAATCTGCACATCTATTTTATTTCTAATGAAGCTTTCTGTTTACTTTAAAAGAGAAATAGAAGTAACGTATTCTGATGGGCAGGCCCACGTATGAATTTCCCCATCCATTTGCACGTGTACCTCAAAGCGCAGGATACTGGGTATGTTGCAATCTGTTTGCAGACTGTTATTCTTTTGGATTTTGAACAACTTCAATTTGATAAACAAATATGTTTTATGATATTTCTTGCTTGATACAGATTTCGTATGTTCTTGTGGATCTAATAATATGGTGGGGCATAAGAGGATATATTAATGACTTCAGGAAAAAGAAGCTGAATCTTGATCCTATTGCATACTTAAGTACATACCATGGGTCAATATCTCATTTACCAACAGGCTACATGTGGAGTCCCCACATTGTGCCAAAGCCCAATGGTAAGCGTGTCTTTTAGTTGCATGAATTATATTAATAGGGACAACGATCTCAGTGCTGGGAAGCTAAACTCTTCCAAAATCTAGTTTCAGTTGATGTTTTCTATATCACAATCTTATTTATAACTAATTCTTTCAACTAATCTGCAGACTGGGGCCCTCTGGTTGACGTTGTTGGTTATTGTTTTTTAAACCAGCAATCAAAACATCAACCTCCGGAAGAATTTGTTCAATGGATACAAAAAGGACCTGAACCTATATATATAGGGTTTGGAAGCATGGTATGGTCAATATAGTGGTTGATATAAAACTCCACGCTTTTCTGATTTAAATTAATAAATGAAGCTTTTCTGAGTGGTATGTTGTGATTGTATAAGGGAATGTTTCTTAATGTCTATAATGATTGGTTACTCCTTCCATCTCTCTGCATTATTTTCTTTATCCTCTTCTTCCTTTTAGAGACCTAGCTCTTCCAAATTCAATTTTTGGCCAGCGGTAATGTACCAAAAAATGAGAAATTAATTTATTGATAAAACTCTGACTATCGAGTTTATCCCATTTGTAGCTGCTGGCTTAGTTTATTGAACCTATACTGCACTTGCTCTGAAGGCATATGCCATCCCCAAGTCAATTGGACTTTAGATGTTGTCTTCCAAATTGGTAAAACACTTTTTTCTTATGCAGTATTGAAGGATGTACGAAGATCATATCAGATGTCCTTTTATCTAATTCAGTACTTGCTTTGTTAATACTTGTGTTAATAACTGTGATTATTGATTTCATTTAGAAAGATGTATGTGCTTTTAGTATACCTTTTGAAAGTTGTTCAAACATTGACACAATTGTTCGTTGCTTGGTAAGCCTCTTGAAGATTCAAAGAAAACTACAGATATTATTTTGGAGGCATTAAAGAATACGGGACAAAGAGGAATAATTGACCAAGGTTGGGGAGATCTTGGCACTCGTAAGTTTCTTTATTCATTTTTTCTTCGACATTTCATTACTTCTTGTTCAGATGGAAGCTTTATTGCTTTATTAAAAAAAAAAGTAACATCAGGTGTCATCTATTCAATGCTGTTTTATGAAATAAGTATTAGAGTTGGAAGAAGGATGCTTAGTTTTGCATTCCATGCCGTTTCACTGCATTCAACATATGCACCCTGCAACTTCACTGCATTCAACATATGCACCCTGCAACTCAATCCACACCCCCACCCCACCCCCCACAAAAAAAAAAGAGATAAAATGAAAAGAAAAAGAAAAATATGAACATAGATCTAAAAAGTATTTAAACACATACGGAGTGAAAAAAGATATTCAAGAAAGGACCTGCTGCTTATACCCATGTAAGCATCTGCCACCTGCACCTCTCTCTTTCTATGTTTTTGTGAGTATGGGTGAAATTATCGGTAACTGAAGTCAATTAGTAGACAAGATATTTTTCTGAATTTTGGAGCTTCGTATTATTTCATCTGTCTGCCTATCCCTACTTCAAAGACAATTCAACATGCTACATGAGGAATCCAAGGAAACAAAAAGCTTTTGACATCTCTTTTCATATCCTATACCACAAAATTTTATTGATGTCTGTACATATGCTTCTGAAAAATGTCTCTGTTTGAACTGCAGATACAGGCATTCCTGAAAGTGTTTTCCTTATTGTGGATTGCCCTCATGACTGGTTGTTCCCCCAGTGTTCGGCTGTGGTAAGTCAAAAGCTGCCTCTGGATTTTATATATAGTATTTGAGGGCTGATAGTATGTTCTCCCTCGGTTGTTAATGATTTGAGATGTTGGTAACATTGATTTGGAAAATTTTATGTGCTCGTTTATCATTTTGAGCAAAGAACATCTTTTTGGACTCATCAATATTGGAAATACATCAATGCAGGTCCATCATGGTGGTGCTGGAACCACAGCTACAGGACTTAAAGCTGGGGTAATTTTTCTTGACATTTTCGCAATATAGCATAGTGTGATGCTTCAACACATCTTAGAAATTGTCACAAAGACAGTAGTTCGGAGAGGAATAAAAAGATTGTATAGTTCTTATGTTCTTTGAATTATAAAGAAAAGACCCTGTTTTTATAATATTATTAAAAAACAAGGAAATTTATTACTAACTATCATAATACAATTTGTCCCATTAAGAATTTCCATAATCTAGCCTATACAAAGAAAAGGAAAGGTAAAAATGGAATCTTTTCACGTTAGTACCATAAAGGCAAACCGGTGATTAAGGAAATCAAATCTTCCAAAATAAAATGTCATTTCTTGGAATTTAGTTATTTGCAAATGGTTTGTAACATCCAAATTAATTGAACAGAAAGCTTTGCTTGTTGGTTGTTGTGGATGATTTATACCAGTAAAGAAATATTTGCAGATTGTTACTGGACCATAGGAGATACGAACCAAATGAGTGAAATGTTTTATTTCCGATTCATTCTGAATTTTTTGCATCTTTCACGATAATGTGGTTGGCCTAATGTTATGTTTTGCATCATTTAATGCAGTGTCCGACAACCATAGTGCCCTTCTTTGGAGATCAGTTTTTCTGGGGTGAAAGAGTTTGTCAGAAAGGACTGGGACCAGCTCCAATTCCCATATCCCTGCTCAGCATGGAAGCTCTTTCAAATGCAATAAGATTCATGCTCCAGCCAGAGGTAAGTGTGGTCTCCATTTATTTCATATTATGAATTTTGTTGAATAAATCTTGCAAATAATGGATTAGTTTCCGTATTACAATTTATTACTTTTTTCGTTTTGACCTTTTCCCTTTTGAAGTCCCAAACAAAATGCCGTGACTGTTCCCCCTTTGCTTTTAGCTTATAAATCTGTTTCTATTCCCGAGTCACTTGCTATAACATCCCATGTGATGAAGCTTTAAATTGCTTCTATCAAGTTCCTGCTAGTTTAACTCGATTTCTTAAATTATCATCAACTTTGATAGTGCCGATAGCTGATGTTGCTCAATTTGCTAGTAGACGAAAGAAAAGAGAGATTGTGTGTGTTATTCTGTTCTCTTTAATGGTTTCAGTACCTGAGAGATTATTAACTCACCTTTTGGGGTCAGGGAAGAGGATTTTACTTCTGTTCTAGACAAATAACAAAAGTAACATGAACGTGGGTATGGAGGTAAAAGCACATCTATCGCCTTTTGGGAGCGGGGAAGAGGATTTTACTTCTGTTCTAGACAAATCATAAAAGTAACATGAATGTGGGTATGGAGGTTAAAAAGCATATCTATCGACCAAAGAATTTTAGGGTTGAAGGCCACTATTTCCATTAATTCACCCGTACTAAAAGAAGCCCAAAGTTGCTAAAAAAAAAGAAAAAAAGAAAAAGTAAAAAAAGAGTAAACTAAGCCCAAAGTTAGTCATACCAGAGTGAATGACTTATAGCAGGCATTCTGACATCTGATGAAAGAAGCGAATCAATTAAGGGAAGAATTGATACCTTTTACCTGATGGCTTGTTTACTATACGGTAGTAAACAATATCAATAAAGAAAAAGAAGCTAAAATCTTGTCTATTATAGTGTTCCCTCGAGTTCAGTTTTCCATACCAAACATGCATCTAATGTTTTCACTAACATGAGACCATTGATCTATAGATTCTACCCAGTTGCTAAAAATGTATTTTGGTGTGATTCACTTTTCCAGGTGAAATCCCGAGCAATGGAACTGGCAATATTAATTGAGAATGAAGACGGTGTTGAATCAGCAGTTGATGCATTTCACCGGCATTTGCCTCTAAAGCTACCATTGCCTACATCATCTTCAGAGAAATACAACACACCAAATCCTTTCCAGTGGCTTTTCATTCAAATTGGGAAACTATGCACTCTACCTTGTGGTTCTTAAGGTTTCCAAATATAGATTATTTCAATGTACATAGATATCTTTTGTTCTTTTTTTTTTAGGTTTTTTAGCATATTCTTTCGTTTCATTTTGGTGTGATAGAAGGCATGTAAAAAATTCCATGCAACAGTAAACAATGTTTGATAGATTATTTGTTACTGCAGTAGCATGAGAGGAAACTTGTATTTATAGTTTGAAGTAATTGTGTTCGGTATCTTCTGGATATTTGGAATTGTCTATGTTAGTTTGCAAAATATTATGCGAATTGTAAGAATGCATTTAGGTAAAATATTGCATATAGTAGATATATTATGATTAAACATGAGTTCTTATAGTACTCATGTTATGGATAATTGGTATGAATTATTTACATTGTTTGCTTTCGTTGTGCAAATTGTCTTCATCGTTACACTTGAAATTTGAGTTCTTAGATCAATAATTATTTCCATAAATCACCACCCTACTTGGCTCATTCCGTCTATTTGCTCCCTCAAATGGTTGTGTGAGATTTACTCGTTTGATTTGTCCGATAACATTCAGTAATTTTTTCTCGTCTAATCTTGGTCATTCTAAAATGGTAATATGTGTATGTATTATGTTTAAATTTATGTGTATATGTAAATAATCATGTGTATGTATGTATCTACAATCATACTGAGAACTTCTTTTGCAATGGATTTAAATCATTGTTCATTAAATTTTACCTTAGGTCATCTGCATAAAAATTCTACATTTATGATTATTTGCATCCTCGAAGGGACTTTTGAAATGGTGGTTGTACATAATCTCTAGCTTGATGGGTGAAATGGTGAGCTTTTGCTTGACAAATATCGAATTTTGTAAAGATAAGGTGAGTTAGTAGGTTAAATTCTATGTTTGCTACAAAAATCTTGAGTTTGTTTGGCAAACATTGAATTTATTTGATAAATATTGAGTTTTCTATACAAAAATTGAGTATGTTAGAAAATATTGAGTTATTTCGACTGATTTACTTCAATTACACAATTTTTGGTCCACAACTCCAAGTTGCAGTTCTCTTTTTCGTTGAAATTTAATTAATTATCTTTTGAGTATATTATTTTCCGTGTGAAAATCTGTGTAATAAAAGTTGTACATTTATTTTTTTATAGGAACCTATGTGTTAAATATGTGGAGAAGTTGGTGCGCAATTTTTGTTACATACAACTTTTGTTACACGAATATTCAAAGGACAAATAATTTACCATCGAAAATTCCTTAGACAAATGAAGTATTTGCTGGGGTCACAAGACCTTTGGAATATCATAGGGGAGAGATACAACGAGCCAAGAGATGAGACTGTGTTATATCTCAATGACAAAAGGTCGCGTTGAAGGATTCAAGAAGGAAAGACAAGAAAGTTCGGTATCTCATTTATCAATCACTAAAAGCAAATATTGAAAATTTGAATAATATTAGAATTATGAAGAAAATTTGGAGGCCATGACTATTGAACTTATAGGGTCTTTTCAAGCATACGAAGAAAGGCAAGAGAAGAAGCAAATTAATTTGAAGCAAGTACTTAAAACATAGATCGTGTTGAATGAAAACAATGGAGGTGACTTCACTGACTTGAACGATGAAAGAGGAAAATGACGTGGTCATGGTAATGGTCGTGGTTGAGAAAGAGGATAATATGAGACATCTAATTGTGAAGAAAGTAGACAAATTAATTTATCTTCAAAAAAAGGCCGTAGAAGAGGTAACAATTCAAAGCAAAGATATGTCAAATCTCAAGTACAATGCTACAGTTGTAAAATTTTTCGAGAATTTGTAGAAATATAGAGCTAATCAAGTTGAAGAAGAAGCAAATTTTGTAAAAAGAAGGAAAAAAAAAAGGAGAAGGAATAACATGAATGAATGTCGACAATTGGGATATTGACATCGGTGCTAGCAATAACGTGTAGAAATTAGAAAAGAAAATGTTGAATCGGTAAGTGGCAACATCACATTTGGAGATTAATTCAAAATTCCGGTAGGTGGCAACATTGATATCCGAATACGCTAGGAAGATGGAAACCACGAATTTCTTTCAAATTTTTATGTTCCTATGAAGAATAATATTTTGTGATTGGGGTAAAATCTTAGAAAAGGCTATGACATTCACAGGAAAGAAAAAAAGAAAAAGAAAAAACACTTTCAGTAAGAGACTACTAAAGTAACTTGATTGCTAAGGGAGCAATGACAAATAATAGAATGCTCTTGTTGGATATTCAAAATGATGTTGCAAAAATGCTCGAGGGCTTGTGTAAAAGATACATCATGGCTATGTCATCTAAAGTTTAGACACCTAAATTTTAATATTTTAGAGTTGCTATTCAAAAAGAGAATGATGAGTACATTGCCATTCATCAATTATCGGAATCAATTTTACAAACGATGCCTACTTGGAAAGCATTCTCGAAAGAGCCTCCACAATAAACAAAGACCAATAGAAGAGAAGCCACTAGAATTCATTTATATCGACGTGTATTGGCCAATCCATTATAGATCCCTCAGGAAGAGCAATTATTTCGTCTTATTTGCTGATGATTTTAGTAAAAAAGAAAATATGGGTTTATTTTCTGAAGGAAAAATTCGAAATTGTCCGGTGTTTTCAAGAAATTTAAATAACTGGTTAAAAGAAAAGCGGCCTCAAATTTAAAGCTACGAGATTAGACCTACAAGGAAAATTTACGCCAAAAGTATTTGACAAATTTTTTGAAGATGGAGTTGAAGAAAGCTCGACATCTTTGCTTAAGAGTCTTTGGAAGCATTGCCTATGCTCATGTGCCCGAACAAAGGAGATCCAAGCTCAATCGAAAAAGTGAAAAACTCCTCTTTATTAGCTATGATACAAGGTCTAAAGATTACAAGCTATATAATACAATCACCAAAAAGTTTATCACTAGTTGAGATGTTGAATTTAATGAAGAAAATTCATGGAGGTTGAACATTGAAGAAGATGACTTTGATTTTTCTCCGATTTTCGTGAAAGAACAAGAAAGGGAAGTAGAGCAAGGAAGAGAAGAAATACAAAAGCATACAACTCCACCTCATTCACCACAAGCAAGCTCTCATGAATACTTAAGAAGAAGGTTTAAGCTCGAGCACACTACCAAAGAGACCATAGACAATGAGCTTACAAGCATTGTATGAGGTCATCAAAAATTAAAATGAACTAACACTCTTTTGTCTCCTTGCGGATTGTGAACCAACAGGTTATGAAGTGGGGCAAAGCACAAAATGATGAGAAACCATGGGTGACGAAATCAAAGCAATCTTGAAGCATGATACATAGGAGTTAGCAACTCTTCCAAAAGGCAATTGGAGTGAAATGGGTGTAAAAAGCAAAGAACAATGCTAAAGGAGAAGTTGAAAAATAAAAATCAAGTTTGTTGCCGAATACACAATCAGAGTCTCGAGATTGACTATGATGAGATATTTGCTCCCTTTATTCGATTAGAAACTATAAGATTGATTATTTCTTTGATTGCTCAAAATAAATGAAAAATCTATCAAATAGATATGAAATTCTCTTTTCTAAAATGGATATTTTGATGAAGAGATTTATATTGCACAATCAAGTGGCTATAAAGTGGAGGGAAGAAAATAAAGTCTTAAAATTGAAAAATACATTATATGGATTAAAACAAACATTGAGGGCATAGTATGGTAAAATTGACATGTATTTTCAAGATAATGATTTCAAAATGTGTCCAGAAGAACATGCTCTTAAGGTTGAACAAAAATCGAGAAACGTTGACAGTGTACGTGTATGTTTATGATTTGATCCTCACAGGAAAGAATTCAAGTTTATTTCTAAAATTCAAAAGGAGTGAGATCAAATAATTTGAAATAGGGTAATTATATTCACCCCATAATTTTTATTTTTTACACCATAATTTAATTACATTTAAGATTCTTAATTTTTGCTTAGTATAGCACTTCATAACGTTTTTTCATGTTATTCTTATTTTCATACTTTTCATTAATTAACATATTTTGTATTTGATAATAATTTTATGTCCAAAAATTCGTAAAAATACTTATTTTTTTCATCATATTTTTAAAAAAAAAAATAAAAATAAAAAGTGCTAAACAAATTTTTCCCCCTAATTTCAAAGCTTGAAAATAAAATATTTTGATATAAATCAACATCAAGAACGAGACATACTAATTAATGGAATGTTGAAGATAAGAATTCGAAGAAAATAAGTTAAGAAAATAATTGGTATAATATGCAAAGATTGATGAATTTAATTGTAATTAAAATGTGATGTATGACTAGGGGTGGGCATGATTCCATTTGGCTCTGGTTCAAGGGGACCTAGCCGAACCATGAACCGATCATTTTTTTGACAATGTAATCAAACTGTTTTTTTAAGATATGGAACCAAATCGAATCCGAACCATTCAATTTTAGTTTGGCTTGATTTGATTTGGTTCTAGTTTTATTTCTTATATTTTCAAACTCGCATCGTATCCATAATTTAGTGATATATACCGAAATAAAAAAAAGAAATATCAAACATTAATTTCAAATTATCAATCAATAAGATTACAAAAGTCCAAATTAACAAACAAAATATTGTCATAATTTGAATATATCGATTAATTTCTATTCCCATATAAAATATTGTCTAATAAATAATAATAATGATTCACTAAATTAATTGTAGCAGTTTTGACGGCACACCCTCACAATAAAAGATGAATTATACAGTTGTTTTGTAGTCCATTTTTACAAGCAATCATTAATGGTTTAATATTCCATGAATGTTTATTGGATTTTCTTCTATTTGTGAAGAATACAAATAATTTATCAAACAATGAAAATGAAAAAAATAGTTTAAAGACTTTTTAAGTAATTGACAAATTTCATTTTTCATTCTTCAAAGAATCTCCTCCACTGACGTGATGAAATACGATGCTAGTGTGTTGTAGCATTGTGTAAATCGAAAATGAGTGAATGAAAAATGATTCAAAAGAATACAAAACTAGGGTGCACATAATTAGTAGGCTGTCTTTGATGATCTAGAACTGATTAATGGACTGACTCCAAATGAGTTTCGATTCAAAGAACTGATATCATTAATTTTTTTTAGAATTGAATCAATTCGTTCGATTTGATTCAATTATGGTTTGGATATTTTATCACTCCTAGGTGTATCAAATAAAAATTATTGTGACAATATAATCACTATTTAAAATATTCGATATAAGATTTGAAATATCTATCTTAAATTGACAGTACATGTT